CAAGTCTTCATAATTATTTTAATAAATATCCAGGAAGCACAACGTCAACTAATATGGCATCATATATATATATATATATGTACAATTTATTATCTTCTCAAACACACACACACACACACACACACACACACCACACACACACACATGCAGGGGCCAGGAGCTATGACTCGACCCCTGCAACCACAAATAGGTGAGTACACACACACACACACATGCACACACACACACATGCATACACACATGCACACACACATGCGCACACACATGCGCACACAACACATGCACACACACACATGCACACACACACACGCACACACATGCACGCACACACGCGCACGCACGCACGCACACACACACACACACACACACACACACACACACACACACACACTACTCTCACACATAGCCACAGTTCCTCCACTACCTCCCCCCCCACACTCTGACATACACAATACTAACCTAACATACAGAATTACATAGGTTTCCCACTCTGAGGCAATCAGGATAAAACAAAAATGGGTTGCCAGAGAGCAACAAGAAAAACCAAGGGACAGGAGGAGGAAACTGCAAAGGAAGATTTGGCAGCAGAGCTCACAAAAATGGAACATGAATGGGAAAAGAAACTATAAGAACTTAGCATGAGAATGGAAGAGAGGATAGACATGGAAAGCAGGAAGTGGGAGGTGCAAGTCAAAGCAGCAGAGGCCAGTATACAGAGTTTAGAAGAGGAACTGAAAAATCTGAAACAGCCTAAAGAACAAGAACATTTTGGGATTGACAACAGAGACTGCTACCTCAGCCACAAATAAGGGGACAGTAGGGAAAGAAGGAGCAAAACTGCATGTAGAAGCTCAATCAGTGGAGACTGTAGTAAATGAAAGAGCTAAGCTATATGTGGAGGCCCTAACAGACCACAGCAGAGCCCAGGGAAAGCCGAGAAGGGAAAATGACAGGCCACTGAGCCCAAGTACATTAGCTAGTGAAACTGAAGAAAGGAAAGCTGCAATGGAGGAAATCAAATTGAATGAGGGGATACACAGGGATATGCAGTGGGAGAATGAAAGGGTGAGGTCAGTCTTTGTGTATGGGCTCCAGGAAGTTGAAGGGGAAACATATGAAGTAAGAAAACAAGGGAAAAAAAAAGCAATTGAAAGCATCATGAAAGCAATAGGAGAAGACGACATGACCCAGCTGGAAAATTTTTGGAGAATAGGGGGGTTTGTAAAAAAAGAACCCGGCCAGTGAAAGTGACCTTCAAGGAAGAATTGACTCGGAACAGGATCCTGCAGGAGAAAGCACGATTAAGGGACATGCCGGCATACAGGAAGGTGTATCTCGACCGCGACAGAACACAAGCAGAAAGGCAGAAACAGAGAGAGATGGTACAAAGGTGAAAGGAGGAAAGAGGGGATGGAGAAGACAGAACAGGAGATCCCAGACCACAGAAGATCAAATACAGCCTCCCTCACAACTTCCTAATAGAAGCCTCCCAACCAGGTCAACCCCAGTGCAACCAAACACTCTAAACCAAAACACCCATGCCAACATCCAATGCCCCTCAATCACTGCATTACAAACTCCACCCCCACAGCAACCACCCATAGTTCCTTATCAGGTCTCCCACTTCCCCAACCCCAATACACCTCCCAGACCACAATCTTAGAAAAGAAGTTGAAGGTGTGGTATACAAATGCAGATGGAATAACAAATAAGTATGAGGAGTGGCACGAAAGATTCAAGGAGACATCCCCAGACATAATAGCACTCACAGAAACAAAACTCACCAGAATAATAACAGATTCAACCTTTCCATCCGGATATCAAATCCTCAGGAAAGACAGAGGGAGGAGAGGGGGAGGAGGATGGCATGGGCGAAAGGGACTACTTAGTAGGAACAATCCAGTCTGAGGGACATAAGGTGATAATTGCAGTAATGTACAACCCACCACAGAACTGCAGGAGGCAAAGAGAATACGATGAGAGCAACAGAGCAATGGTCGACACACTAGCCGAGGTGGCCAGGAGAGCACACATGGGGGGAGCAAAGTTACTAGTTATGGGTGATTTCAATCACAAGGAGATTGACTGGGAAAACCTGGAGCCCCATGGGGGGTCCCGAAACATGGAGAGCCAAGATGATGGATGTGGTACTGGAAAACCTCATGCATCAACATGTTAGAGACACTACCAGAGAGAGAGGAGAGGATGAACCAGCAAGACTGGACCTTGTACTCACCTTGAGTAGTTCTGACATCAAGGATATCACGTATGAAAGGCCCCTGGGAGCTAGTGATCATGTGGTTCTGTGCTTCGACTACATAGTTGAGCTCCAAGTGAGAGAGCAGCAGGAATAGGTGGGAAAAAACAACTACAAAAGGGGGAACTACTCAGGCTTGAGGAACTTCTTTCAAGACATCAGTGGGAGAGGGAACTGACAGGAAAACCAGTACAAGAAATGATGGACTATGTGGCAACAAAAAATGCAAGGAGGCAGAGGAGAGGTTTGTTCCCAAGGGAAACAGAAATAATGGGAAGAACAGAACGAGTCCTTGGTTCACCCAAAGGTGTAGGAGGCAAAAACTAGGTGTACTAGAGAATGGAAAAGGTACAGAAGACAGAGAACTCAAGAAAATAAAGAGATTAGCCGAAGAGCCAGAAACGAATATGCACAGATAAGAAGGGAGGCTCAGCGGCAATACGAAAATGGCATAGCATCGAAAGTCAAGACTGACCCGAAGCTGTTTACAGCCACATCAGGAGGAAAAACAACAGTCAAGGACCAGGTAATCAGACTGAGGAAGGGTGAATGGGAATTCACAAGAAACGACCAGGAGGTATGTCAGGAGCTCAACACAAGATTTAAAGAAGTATTTACAGTGGAAACCAGTAGGACTCCAGGAAATCAGAGCAGGGGGTGCACCAGCAAGTGCTGGATGAGGTACATATAACCAAGGAGGAGGTGAAGAAGCTGCTATGCGAACTTGACACCTCAAAGGCGGTGGGACCAGACAACATCTCTCTGTGGGTCCTTAAAGAGGGAGCAGAGATATGTGTGTACCGTTAACAAAGATCTTCAACACATCATTTGAAACTGGGCAACTCCCCGAGGTATGGAAGATGGCAAATGTATTCCCAATTTTTAAAAATGGAGACAGACATGAGGCACTAAACTACAGACCTGTATCACTAACGTGTATAGTATGCAAGGTCATGGAGAAGATCATCAGGAGGAGAATGGTGGGAGCACCTGGAAAGAAACAAGTGTATAATTGACAACCAGCATGGTTTCAGGGAGGGAAAATCCTGTGTCACAAACCTACTAGAGTTTTATGACAAGGTGACAGAAGTAAGACAAGAGAGAGAGGGGTGATCGACTGCATTTTTTTGGACTGCAAGAAGGCCTTCGACACAGTTCCTCACAAGAGGTTACTGCAAAAGCTAGAGGATCAGGCACACATAACAGGAAAGGCACTGCAATGGATCAGAGAATACCTGACAGGGAGCAACAACGAGTCATGTACTGACGAGGTGTCAGAGTGGGCGCCTGTGACAAGCGGGGTTCCACAGGGGTTAGTCCTAGGACCTGTGCTGTTCTTGGTATATGTGAATGACATAACGGAAGGGAAAGACTCAGAAGTGTCCTTGTTTGCGGACGATGTGAAGTTAATGAGAAGAATCAATCAGATGAGGATCAGGCAGGACTACAAAGAGACCTGGACAGGCTACAAGCCTGGTCCAGCAACTGGCTCCTTGAGTTTAACCCTGCCAAATGCAAAGTCATGAAGATTGGGGAAGGGCAAAGAAGATCGCAGACACAATATAGTTTAGATGGCCAAAGTCTGCAAACCTCACTCAAGGAAAAAGATCTGGGGGTGAGTATAACACCGAGCATATCTCCCGAGGCGCACATCTATCAGATAACTGCTGCAGCATATGGGTGCCTGGCAAACCTACGGACAGCGTTCCGATACCTCAGTAAGGATTTGTTCAAGACTCTGTATACCATTTACGGCAGGCCCATACTGGAGTATGCAGCACCAGTTTGGAATCCACACCTAGTCAAGCATGTCAAGAAATTAGAGAAATTGCAAAGGTTTGCAACAAGACTAGTCCCAGAGCTATGGGGATTGTCCTACGAAGAAAAGTTGAGGGAAATCGGCCTGACGACACTGGAGGCCAGGAGGGTCAGGGGAGACATGATAACGACATATAAAATACTGCGCGGAATAGACGAGGTGGACAAAGACGGGATTTTCCAGAGATGGGACACAGACACAAGAGGTCACAATTGGAAGTTGAAGACTCAGATGAATCAAAGGGATGTTAGGAAGTATTTCTTCAGTCATAGAGTAGTCAAGCCGTGGAATAGCCTAGAAAGTGAAGTAGTGGAGGCGGGAACCATACATAGTTTTAAGGCGAGGTATGATAAAGCTCATGGAGCAGGGAGAGAGAGGACCTAGTAGCAATCAGTGAAGAGGCGGGGCCAGGAGCTATGACTCGACCCCTGCAACCACAAATAGGTGAGTACAAATAGGCGAGTACACATGCACGCACACACGTACATGCACACACGTACACGCACACACATACACGCATGCACATACACGCACACACACACACACACTCGGGATATTAAAACAATTCCTGTGAAAGACAAGTAGAAACAGAGATGAATTCTATATACTGCACACAAAACATTCAAGATATACAAGATGATAATATAATTCAATCAACCAATATGTAAATCATGCCCAGGTAAACCCAAACTGAATCAACCCAAAATGATGGACTTGTGGTTGAGCAGTTGTGCACAGACTTCCTTGGACATCATCACCTTCCACACACACACACACACACATTCACACACACACCATTCTCACACACACACACACACACACATTCTCTCACACACACACACACACACACACACACACCACACACACACATATCACACACACACACACACACACACATTCACACACACACACACACACACACACACACACACACAACACACACACACACACACACACACACACACACACACACACACACACACATCTATTTGGACAGCATCACTCTCTGCTGAGACTTGCGGTTGAGTCGCTCGCCGCCGCACACACACCTCAGATAGTGTCAGTCTACACTGGCAATCAACTAGGTCTTGGTAGCTTCCATCTGCTTCATGATCTGCTCCTTGATAACTTTTGTAGCTTCACCAGCCTTTGGTATGAGGAACCTGAAAATTGAGTATCTTTTTCTAAGTCTGCATAGTGTGAGGGAGAAGTGTTGGAGGAGTAGTGATAGAGTATTGATGGAGTATTTGTGAATTATAGGAAGAGAATATGAAAGCAACTCAGTGGGATGCTAACACTGCTTGTTTTTAAGTCAAACCACTAATGCACAACTTAATTTATCAACTAAAAGCAGACATAGTAGCTCAGGTCCCTTCAGAGCTTGGGTGTGAAGGTCAAGCTGTTGACACACTTAGTCACTATATCTAAATTTTGTCAGAGTAAAAGCCCGTGTTTCAGATTTAGGTACAATTTCTTTCAGATTGGAGGGAGAGAGTATGGAGGAGGTGAATGTATTCAGATATTTGGGAGTGGACGTGTCAGCGGATGGGTCTATGAAAGATGAGGTGAATCATAGAATTGATGAGGGGAAAAGAGTGAGTGGAGACAAAGAACTTTGTCCTTGGAGGCAAAGAGGGGAATGTATGAGAGTATAGTTTTACCAACACTCTTATATGGGTGTGAAACATGGGTGATGAACGTTGCAGCGAGGAGAAGGCTGGAGGCAGTGGAGATGTCATGTCTGAGGGCAATGTGTGGTGTGAATATAATGCAGAAAATTCGTAGTTTGGAAGTTAGGAGGAGGTGCGGGATTACCAAAACTGTTGTCCAGAGGGCTGAGGAAGGGTTGTTGAGGTGGTTCAGACATGTAGAGAGAATGGAGCGAAACAGAATGACTTCAAGAGTGTATCAGTCTGTAGTAGAAGGAAGGCGGGGTAGGGGTCGGCCTAGGAAAGGTTGGAGGGAGGGGGTAAAGGAGGTTTTGTGTGCGAGGGGCTTGGACTTCCAGCAGGCGTGCGTGAGCGTGTTTGATAGGAGTGAATGGAGACGAATGGTTTTTAATACTTGACGTGCTGTTGGAGTGTGAGCAAAGTAACATTTATGAAGGGGTTCAGGGAAACCAGCAGGCCGGACTTGAGTCCTGGAGATGGGAAGTACAGTGCCTGCACTCTGAAGGAGGGGTGTTAATGTTGCAGTTTAAAAACTGTAGTGTAAAGCACCCTTCTGGCAAGACAGTGATGGAGTGAATGATGGTGAAAGTTTTTCTTTTTCGGGCCACCCTGCCTTGGTGGGAATCGGCCAGTGTGATAATAATAATAATAATTTTTTTTATTTCTCGTCTCTAGTGACACAGGAAGATCAAATACATAGTGTGCAGCATAACTTGATATACATGTAGTATTACACTATATATAAACCACGGTATGGATAGGGTTAGAATCCATGGCCAGTAAGTCGTAAAAACTCAAGGCCAGTGTGTAAGCCACTGGGCCAACTGGCTACATTAAGATTCATCCAACTAGGTATATTTATACACCACAGGGAGGTTAACATGGGCCACCATTGTGACCACAAATGCAAGTTTTTACAGATGAATCTTCCACCAGCCTGGCTGCAGATTCATCTGTACAAACTTGCATTTGCATGTAAGCCACTGGCCCAGTGGCTTACACGCTAGCCTGGAGTTTTACGACTCACTTGCCATGGGTTCTAACCCCACACATACTGTGGTTTGTTTGCAATCATGTTAGTTATGCTACACATCTTCAGGATGCATGCTGGTACCTTGTACTAAGCTACAATGTACTCTGGAAATATGTACTGTGCTACAAGGTACTCTGGCAACATGTACTGTGCTACAAGGTACTCTGGCAACAGGTTCTAAGCTACTCTGGTAATACACAAACAAGACTCGCCTATCCATGTCTGAGATGGTAACTTCTCCCTCATGAGTGGTTGTGCCATACTTGAAGGTGATGAGGTCGGGATGTCGCTTCTTGGACGTGATCTTGACGATGGAGGCCAGTGTTCTCCGTGCTGTCATCTGACCCTCACCCTCCTGCCCTTCACACTCCCGGAGAACACACAGTGCCGTTTCCATCAACACCAGATGGCTAGAGAACATTTTATTATTGCTATTACATTATAATTTTAATAATTGTTATTATTTTTATTATATTCATACAGTGTTTGGAGAATGGGAGGTAATTAGGTTAGATCCTAGAGGAAAACACCTCCAGTTCCTTGAATCAAGAGTCCTTCACTAGAATCAAACCAGCTTCCTTTAAGGGATGCTTCACTATTTTCAGGAACTTGTATCTTAATGAACCCCCTAGAAGGACCTTTACAAAACCATAAATTCAGTGTAGCATTTTGATAGATTTAAAGTAGACTAAGACATTATTATTAGGATGTTATATTAGGTAATGAGATTAAGAGTGATAGTGAGTAGCTGGCAACTCACAGGAAGCTGGGACTAGCTGGCCACATGACTTTCTTCTGGTCTTTTTAAAATTTCAAGTGTTTTAAAGTTATTATTGCATACAGTAGAACCCAGGTTTTTGTAATTAATCTGTTCCAAAAGGTTGGCCTAAATCCGAAATGGCCTAAAACTGAAGTAATTTCCCATAAGAAATAATGTAAATCCAATAATCCATTCCAGACACCCAAAAATATTAGCAAAAAATACATTTTTTAAAGAATAACTACAGTTTTACATACAGAAAACAATGAAAAATAAATATAAAGCACTAAATTTAATAATAAATGAACACTACATACCTTTATTGAAGATTCTTGTTGGCATATGGAAGAAGGCAAGAAGGGGAGTGGGAGGAGAGTTTATTGTTAGGAAGGGGAATCCCCTTCCAAAAGGACTTCAGGTATCAAAGCCCTATCCAGGGTTACTTCCTTTCTTTGTCTTTTACTGGCACTAGAATCAGCTTGAGTCACCGTACCCTTGTCGCACAAAAAATCCGTCCAGAGAGGTCTGTTTCTGGAGTCTGTTTCTGGTGTCCCCATTGATGATAAACTATATTATGTCAACTTATGTTGATGCAACAATGGAAGTATTGGGGAGAGTGTGTAGAGGGGTAAAACAAGGGGACCCCCCTCTCATGAATCCTCTTTAATATAGTAATGAATGAAGCCCTTTTAGCTTTAAATGAACAGATTGGATGGCCAATAGCTGAGGCTGAGTCAAAAGTGTCCGCCTTGGCCTTTGCTGATGATGTGGTGTTGGTAGCCGAGTCCAAACAAGGTCTTCATGCACAGTTACAGCTTTTCATGAGGCAGTTGGAAGCGCAGGGGTTAGAAATAAATCCACAGAAGTGTGCCACTTTAAAACTCAAAACGGTACCAAAAACAAAGAAATGGTATGTGGATATGACGCATAAAAATGGAACTATATGGTGCCCAGGTGCAACCCCTACAACCAACAGCAGTACAGTGGACTCCCACCTTACGATATTAATCCATTCCTGAGAGCTCATCAATTATTTTTTACTAAACTTCTCTATTAGACTTATTAAAGCTATACATCATTACCTATTAACACTCAGTTCTCTTGTACTCACTGTAACTCATCTAATGACCATTTAATCTGTTACTGCCTTATTAATCTTAAGCTAATTTTAAGTTTGCCCAAAATACTCTGCATACAAGGGGCTTTTGGCATGTACACTCTACTATTATATTCCTTTGTACAACCATGTATCATGTCAAAGTAACTCTCAAACATTTTGATGTGTGGAATCTTCAGGCAAGGCTCAATGCAATTGAACCGGCTATCCAATTTACACTTGAAGAAGAGTCCAATGACAAGCTACCTTTTCTAGACATCCTCATTCACATAGCAGATAACACTCTAAGATTTCAAGTTTACCATAAACCTACAAACGAAAATGATCTCACTGAAAGAGGCATCCTTATCGGATTTTTCCTAAGAGCATACTGAATTTGTAGTCCTGAGTTTCTTGACGAAGAATGTACTTACATACACCAAACATTCACTGAGCTACATTTATAATCCTCCCAATAGCCAGGATGCACCGAATGTTTCCAAGGTACTCGCACAAACTAACACTAGAGTCACCATCACATCCAGCACTTCAGTAAGGGATCTAACCAGGACAAAACTGAACCACCATGAACCAGTCAATGCAGGAGTTTACACTATGCCTTGTGGAGGCTGCGACAGAATATATGTAGGTGAAACAGAAGGACCCTCGAAACATGTCTCAATGAACACATTAACACATGTAGGAGCAATAACTTGAACAATGCCTGAGTACAACACTGGAATTCCACCAATCACCTCATGAAATTCAACGGTGGCCAACAAGTGATCAGAGAACCTAATTTCCACAGATATAAATGCCTTGAATTATCATTAATTGCTGCTCTAACACAATCAAGCAAAATAAAGGCAGCTTCATCATCTCTGAAGTACAGTGGTCCCTTGTTTATCGTCATTAATCTGTTCCTGGAAGTGCGACGATTATCAAACTAGACAATTTTCAAATCAATTTTCCCCATAAGAAATAATTTAAATACAATTAATCCGTTCCTAACACCCAGAAGTATTAAAACAAAAAATTTTTTTACATGAAATATAGATGTAGTACATAAACAATACAATGGGACATGATGAATGAAACATTAAAAGCATAACACTTACCTTTATTGGCGATTCTTCTCAGTGTATGGAAGACTGGAGGAGGAGAGGGATTGGATTAGTTACTGTTTGGAAGGGAAATCCTCTTCCATCAACACCTCAGGTACCAAATCCTTTTCTGGGGTTACTTCTCTTCTCTGTTTCTTAATGCCACTAGGACCAGCTTGAGTGTCACTGGAGTCCTGTCTCGCAAAAAAAAGTGTCCAGAGAGCTCTGTTTCTGGCGTCTCTTTAAAATTTCCCTAAAATGGGCCAAGACTCTGTCACTGTACAAGTTCAATTCAAATTCAAATTCAAACTTTATTCTCTATAAGTATTACAATGCTGAGTTTACCGAATTTGGTTATTGTGTGGTTTACATGTAGTAAAATAATAATTACAGAGTGTATCACTAGAACGCCTAGCATGGCTATGCATTTCGGGCAGACTTATATTAAATCTTAGGTTTAAAATGTTACAGAATTATGAGATAAGTTGGAATTATGGCTAAGTGACTAAATACTAGTTGTGAGTTTAGCAATGTGAATGCTTTTGTTTTGGCACTTGAGATTGATATTTCTGTTTATGGTCAAATGGGTGAGTGAGTGTAAGTGTGAAACACCAATGTTGATTCTAATTATAATTTGCATGGTGTATCAGGATAAATGTTTTCTGATGGTAGTTTGGAAAGGTGATGAAATGTGTCGCAGTTCTGGAATTTTCAGGTAGGGTGTCCCACATTTTAGGGCCTTTGACATACATGTACATTGAATTATTTGTAAAGGATTAGTCGGACACAGTGGAATGTCAGACATTTTGTGTCTGGGTTGTGCCTTTGGGTTCTGTCACAAACTATCAAGAAAGCATTTAGGTCAGGTTAATATTGGAATTTAAAGGTCCTGTAGATGTAGACTGCACGTAGTAAGTGTGGATTGGTACTAACAGGGATAAGTTTAGATCTATGAAAGAGTGGGGGGTGTTTTGCCAAGGGATGGGATTTAGTGATTATACTACTGCAGCTTTATTGTTGGGTTATTATTGCTTTAGGTGTGTTTGCTTTCAGGGTTGAACCCCAAGCACAGATAGCATAGGTGAGGTTTATGGATATATAAGTGAATGGTATAGTGTGAGAAGGGCAGTTTGCGGCACGTAGTATTCGTATCTTTGAGAGGATCCCAACCGATTTGGATACTTTTATTGGTTACGTGTGGATATGGGTGCTGAATTTCAGGTTGTTGTCGTATGTGTATAGAGGCCTAGGAATTTGCCCTCATTATGCCTGGTAATTAAGAGTGTTGTCGATCTTAATGTTAATTTGCCGCATCTCCTGCTCTGGATAACCAAACATAATGTCTAGTTTGTGTCACGTTAAGCGTAAGCTTATTTGGCTGTCATCCAGACGATTTTTGATCAGTCCTCCATTAACAATGGTGTTGAAGGGTTAGCAAGATTAGGGTGAGAGATGACATAAGTCGTGTCGTCAGCAAAGAGAATGGGGTTCAGGTGTCGAGATACGTTTGAAGATCATTGATGTATATGAGGAAGAGCAGGGGACCAAGGACACTTCCTGCGGAACTCCAGTATCAAGTGGCTGTGTTGTTTGATGCTGTGTCTTTAGAATGGTGACATATCAGAATACCTATTAGCAAGGTAAGATTTAAATATGCAAGCGCATGCCTCTTATACCAATAATGGTCAAGTTTGTAGGAGTAGGATGCCTGTGTCTAACTGTGTGGAAAAAGCTTTTCCTTAGGTCAATAAAAATTCCTAGTGGATATTCCTTATTTTCCAATGCTGTGTAAAGCCATGATCTATCATTTTTATAACTGCAGCATCGTTAGTGGCTTTTATTTTTCCTGAATCCAAATTGGCAGGGGTTGAGTAAGTTTTGTGACGTATAAATTGAATATAGTCTCCTGTGCAATACGAGTTTCTTAAAAAGATTTTGGATGCAAAGGTAAAGTTTGATATTGGCCTAATAGTTGTTTAAATCTGTAGGGTCCACCACCTTTATGTTATTGGTTAGACCCTGCCGTCTTAGTAGTTTCGGGAAAGGTGCTACTTCTATGACTTGTTAAAAAAAAGCAAATGAATAGTAATGCGAGAGGACATGGGCCACTCCGGGGGCCTTGTACAATAATGGTGAGGACATGAGACAGATACCCTAGTTATTTTTAAGTGACTTTATAATCTCGGTGGACTTCCGTGGTCTCAGTTGGAGCAAGATAGAAGGAATTTGGGAAATTCCCAACTAGGTATCCCCCCGGCATGGGCCATTGGTACGTGGGATTTTATTGGCGAGATTAGAACCTTATGGTTTGAGAAGAAGTCGTTTATCTGTTACTGTGTTGGTGTGGGTTTGGCAGTGGTGTTTCATTAGTTTTAGTTATGACAATATTCTTGTTTGGGCACATTTTGTGGGGCCCTCGAATCTGAGAGAGGTGTTTTCCAGATCTTATTT